TGAAAACTCTGCAGGAAAACGAATATGCTCGTTCGTGCAACGCTAGCCTTGTTGAACGCACTGAACGAAGCTGAAAGATTATGACAGGAGCCAATCAGCGGTAAACGTGTCAGCCACGATGCTTTGCTCGACAGCTGTAGCCAAGTAATGGCAAGGAGCGAAGGAGCTGCCCCAGTGCGTGCGACGACTTTCACCGGAACACTCGCACAACCAGCACCATGAGAAACTGCACAAAAGTCAGTGGAAAGCTGGGCCTTTCAATCACACGGGCTTGCAGGTGGTCTCCAGATCCATTCGTTCAGGAAGGCAATTGCATGAAGAATTGATGCAGGTCCGAGACGGCATGGCGCCACTGCTTTGGGCAGTGTAGCTACCACCAGCAAGCACATTAGCCCATCGTCTTGCTGTACCCTCCTGTGAGGATATTGGCCGAGTTGCAGCAGCCTTATGACCCCCTAAGCGCATGGCCAAGCACCAAGTTCAAGCACCAAGCCCAAGCTTGTCAAAGACCTCCATGTCGAAGAACTGAACGCTGTTTGCCAGGCACTGTAAGGAGCATAGCGAGTCATCTTCAAGCGTCGGTGCACGAAGGGGCCGATGCAGCTGGCAGTCAGGATCATCAGCAACAAACATGGCAAGCGAGGAGACCGTGAAGCGAGTGCCCAACTAGAGCGCGGGTCCGAGCCGTGGTGCTTTGAAACGCAAGAGGCAGAGAGAGAGAGTGAGCGCTTAGAATCATATACGGGTTTGGGGTGCAGGGCCACGTTTGGGGTTTAGGGGTGTAGTGTTTGGGGTTGAGTGAAGGTTTAGCCGAGGTTTGGGGTTTGACCTTTGTGTCAACATGGATGGGAATACTCTGCAGCGGAAGCTTCGGTCAAAGCAGGCCTATGACAAATGGATATCAGCGCTTGTCTTGCCACCTCCTGCTTGGACTTGCGAGTGAATAAGAGCAAAGCAAGATGAGCACATACCCTTGAAATGCACGCACAAAAACTTTAAACAGATATCACTACACTTGCTACAGTACTGCTAGCCCAAAGCCCCAAGCCTCAACCCTACACCCCAAGGCCTGCTGCAAGCAGACGTTCCCGGGCTCGAGTTGCTTGGGCGGTGAAACGATGTAGACGGTGTTGGTGAACCTGGGTGCTAGTAAAAAGGGGGTCCACAAGATTTGTTGCGTCGCCTGGCCAACTGAACTTCGGCCACCTTAAAATACCATGTATCTGAACGTGAGTCCTCCAATTGGGCCCATTGTGTTGAGACATGCCCATGTCCCGATTTTGACTTTGGACCTTGCATTTCAGCTCGAAAGCTCATGGTCATGATCACACCCCTCGTATTCAACTAACTCCCTGGCTCCCACAGTATGTCCTGCTTGTAGGGGAGGTGGAAGGAATGGATGGGTCATGGACCGCAGCTCTCTGCACTAAGGCGCCAACGCGCGAGGCAGCCACCTTGGAGCCAGTCTCAAAGGGAAAATCTAGGATTCTGCCACACCGTAGCAAAAACCCCACGAATCGAAACCACTTAACCCTTAGGTGACATGGGGCAGCTGTGCAGAGGCTGCATGCGAAGATGCATCCTGGCCAGCCGTGCATTTGTTCATGCATTGCGTGTATCATCTCTGTAGTCTCATGCTTCTCCTTCTTCTAAACCTACTCGCGGTCACCACCACTGCCTTTCAGAAGCCATTGAAGTGCAGCAATGTCATTCTTTGACATCAGAAACCCCGCCGCAATCGCACTTATGCCTTCACTTCCTCCGAACACCCAGCTCAGCTCTCCACCACTCACCCGGAGTCCAGGGCTTGCCGGCAATCTCAGGTGGATCTGCCTCAAGGCCGGGCTTGGCGCAGAGGCTTATTGCTCGAAATCGTCGAGCTTTGGTGTCTGGAGTCTTTTCGCTTCCGAGCAGAATCAAATAGCGAACGTCTTACTTGCAGGGTGGTTTACGTTGCTCTAGTTTGGTAGATTTAGGCGTGGCTTGGGGATTGGTTGTTACAAGTTCTAGATTCTGCATTTCTGAGAACGGCGCTGGATGTTACCTGTTCTGGGGTGCTCCTGACGACGATCGTTGCACGTGGGAGGTCCCAGAAAATGGGCAGGCGCTGCAGCGATCTTGGACCCGGTAATGAGCCAACCTACCTGCTCTTGAAAAAACCCTGAAACCCTGAACCAGGTCCCAAAAACAACCGAATAACCAACCAATCCAAAGTGGCGGAATTTGGCATCCTTAGCTGCAAGCCCCCCAAAAGTGTAACCATTGATTGCAGCCCAAGCCGTCAAACAGTGTAAAGTCCCCCAAAGCCTGCGGATGAGGCATTGCAAGCTCGAAAAGCCTGCGTGAAACATGGGGCAAGCTTTGGCTTTTGGCTTGTTTACAGGAGGGGGGGCTTGCGGCCTTGATTTTACTGGTGTTTCAGGCAGGGGCGTAGGGAGGGGATTCACTCTCCCTCTCTCCCGGAAGCACCAGTAAGTTCTTTAGGAGTTTGGGGCTTCAGTTCAGGTTTAGAAATGTCAGATAAGGCGCTGGCCACCCTCACGAACGATGAATTCAAAACAAACTTTAGCAACCTCTCTTTTGTGGAGTTTTGACAGCATTGCCTGCTCAGGGGCTCCTACCTGTCTTGGAGGCTGCGGGTACCATGGTACAACACCCCCATGAGAGGCCACGACCCATCTAATCAAGCCAACATATGCAAAGCGACCGCTCTGTTGAAAAGAAAATCTGTCAACTCCTTCACAACTGCGTAGAAGCCTGAACAAGTCGAGCGGGGTGTCAGCTCCCGCATACCGTCGGTACACTACACAGGAATTTCACGCGATTCTAAGGGGGCATTTCAGGCTCCTACGTAAAGCCCGAGAGGTGGTCCGCAGCACGCCTCAGGGCCCAGGTGAATTGGATTGCATAGGCAACCCACGCAATGACGTAGATGAGGGCGATCCACCCTGAAGAGCGATGATACGGAGTCCAGTCTCAAGGGAAAGGATAGAAAAGAAGGAGCACTACTTGTTGACACAGGTCCCTCTGCAGGATTACTGCAGGAGACACTCAACCTAGTCAAGGCTTGCAGTTCAATGTTTTGGGTAGGGCCAAGAGGTCAAGACTGGAGGCTGAGAATTACAAATCAGGCTTCGATGAAGTCGGGAGCGTCCATAGGCCAATAACTGGCAATAGCATAACTACCACAGACCTTGCTAGAATGTGAAGGTACAAAGGCCGTGCTGTAGTTTTTGTGTTAGGAAGACAGTTGACAATGCGTCATGGACAACGATGAACAGACTTTAGACCATCGTAAGCCTGCCATGGGCGCACTTCAACCTACGGCCAGGAAAAGAAGCACTCCCGCCTGGTAGCTTGGAGGTGCAGGATTGGGAAGTTGGGGTTTCAAGCTGCATGCTAGTGAGAGTTTGTGGTGTCTCTATCTCCTCTTACATACCTGTATACCTTCCCCACATACCCTTACAAGAATCCCCGTATCTCTAAAAACACATAGAGCCCATTCAAGGAATGTACAGAAGGCTCCTCCTCCCCATTCCCAACAGTCGACACTCAGCTGTCCAGCCCGGTCCTTCATCTGGGGTCTAACTTGGGTCCTGCCCCCACCAAGTAACAGCCTATAATAGGGGTAACATTAAGGGCTATGCATGACCATAATATAAATATTAGCTCACACCCCCCCCACGATCCACCGAAGAGATCTTTTTTTG